AACTATATTTTTTGGGTTCCGTAGCCTTATTGTCTTGTCTGTTTGTCCGTACGTCATAGCCGTTTTATTCGGGTACTATTGAAACAATATGGCTAAACTTTGGTAAATACGCATTATGTATGTATGTATGTATATATATATACATACTAAAAAAAGTTAAGGTGGCTCAAATTGAGATAGATGTTTGTATCTAAGTGACTTATTTAATCAAGCCAATAATTAAGTTATGTGCTTCTGAAATTTTAAACATAATTATTTATTATAGTCATTCGTTGTTGTTGTTAGTACGCATAGCAACAAAAATTGCAAAGCAAAAGTTAATTATCATTTGCAAATATGTAGGTATTGCATTCAGCCTTTTTTAGCGTCCCAATGCTGGGCACAGGCCTCCCTTCAGTATAAAGGGATCAGACAGAACTGGTAGTAGACTCGTGACGTTCAGTAAAAAGTGTAATAATTTAATGCTGAATAAAATATTTTGATGTGATTTGATTTAGACCGTAGTCCACCACGCTGACCAAGTGTGTATTAGCGGACTTCACATATCTTTGCAAAACTTGCTAGGTTCTCTCAAACTTGCAGGTTTCTTCACGATGTATTCCTTTACCGTAAGAGAAGTAATAATCATGTCGAATAAAAATCGCACATGAAAATATCAGAAGCGCAAGACCTAAGATTTGAACCCGATGCACTTGGTTTCCCAAGCGAGTGCGTAAAATAATAAAAAATAAGTTGCAATATTATAAGCAAAAGCTTAAATAATATAAATTATAATTTCTTTATAAGCCAGAGTACCTAAATTCTATTAAAGTTACCTTACGAAGATAAAATTTCAATTTATATGTACAATTTCTCAAGGGACTGTTGGTTCTTTTAATGTTTCTGCTTATGGATGTTTCCTTAATGTAATAAAATTAAGAGTTTCATTTTCAACGTAATAGCGGAAATTTAAATATGATTTATTTTTAATATTTACTCACGGGCGAAACGTTTCTGAATTAATAATAATATTTTTATGTTATTAGTGTAATAAAAAAATCTTTATCATACTATCTATACATATAATGAAATTGTAACTAAGTCGAATCTGTACATTAAATATTATTTGGAAAATCTAATTGAAATAGATATTTTTTATTGATACAGAGTCCGAATCTATAGTTTTCAAAATTTTTGTCTGTCTGTCTGTTTGTTACCACATCACGAGAAAACCACTGGATAGATTTTAATGAAATTTGGTATGATGATAGCTGGTTATCCGGGTCGACATATAGGATACTTTTTACCGCGGGAAAATATCTCATTTCTGAGAAAAAAATACAAAACTGCAATATAAGAGTATACTAATATATAAAACCTAAGATTTGGTTTTGGTCATCTGAACGCGGGCGGAGCCGCGGGTAATGCTAGTAATATATAAAAAACTTAATGACAATCAAAATACTAAATTATTCATAAACTTTACTTTCTTAACCAAAAACAGTATTAAAAGAGGTAATTAATGCTTTTTTATCATTCGCCTTTTTCCATCCAAATTGATATAATCCCTAAAGTAACTAGTTAAACTATAAATAATATAATTCTACCTATAAATAATATAACAAACTTAAAATAATATTTTATTTTTACAATTGAGCTTCAATTGAATGAGCTAAATAAAATCCGGGGCTAATAAAAGCTGTGAGCGACAATGGCGCAACTAGGCAAGGGGCACATCCGGGAACGCGGCCGTGTCAAGGTCACGGCCCGCGATCGATGCAGCTAGTCCCCCTCTACGCCGCTACGCCCGCTACGAACTACCGTTTCTTTACGATATAAATGATACACGTTTATATTTAGATGTAGTTTTTTCTTTATTAATTTAATGATGATTTTAATAATATACGCAGTGAATGTATTTTAATGTCTATCTTTAGAAAATTGTCACTCTCTTATAAAAGAAATTAAAATATCAGCTGTGCTTGTACGTAATTATTATCAAATCAGATTCGTTGTTTGCTATAACATAGGCACTTATTATTCTAGTTTGATTATAAATAACTTTTATAATTATAGTTAATGATTTAATCATTTATTTCAAGTAAAAACGAAAAACATTTTCGTATGTACGATTTGTGGTGGTACATTTTATATTTTACTCGATATATCTTTTCCGGTGGTTTCGACATAACCTATATCCTCTTGAGATTTTAAGTGCTACGTCAAACGTAGAGCTCCCGTTTGAAAGCAATTCTGTGATAACTCTCTCTCTTAGTTAACGTTAAGCTTTTTAATATTTTATGTTACATGTTGAAAAAATATATGTTTTATTTGAATATTCATAAGTACTTACATATATGATACTTTAATATGACGGATAAAATAGTAATTAACATACCTATATTTTTTCTTTATTGTTACTTTTTTTAAAGTCCATTTTCCTTTAACAGAAATATAATAACGATAACAAAACAAGATATAAATAATAAACTAAATATTGGATAAAATAAATGCATTCAGTTATAACTCTACAATAAAAGTAAGAATTTTAAAGCTAATTCATCACGTCTTGGTTTGTCAGGTATAAAATTCTTACTAAACTTTATCTCTCGCTAGAACTTGAATAAATCTCTTCTACAAATTATTAGTGTAGAAATTTTCATTTTAACATTTTAACAATTGAGAAGATTTTAAACTAAAAAAAACTCCTAACTCTAACCTTTTTAGTATGTCCTATTAACAATTCAATACATAAAAAAATAGTTGTGTTGCAATTCTCCTCAGACACACGGAAATAACGAAGCAAAATTCGCAGAAAATTAAGCAAAACGTCCCAAATATGTACGCTTTCAGGAAACAAACTGTCATTTGCTTTGTTAGAAATCCCATTTTACGTTAACTTTGTTCTGAATTCGTTATATGAGCATTAAAAATAAGTGCTCTTTTACATCATAGTTAGCAAAAGTATTACTTTCAATGCATAAAAACTGCTACTATAGCTCTAAAAGCTACTAAAAGTTTAATTTACCTTTGACATTTTATCTCAAGTAAGTGCTACGAATACATACTTATATAAATCATTGTGCATAATTTTAAATAAGAAAACAAAAGCAAAATTGTTAAAATACAAAAGAATTAAAAATGTTATCACTTTGAAATAACATTTAAAGCAGCAATGACATAAATGGTAATAGAAAATTATCTTTTTATTTCTATGTGCTCTACTCATGGAGGACTCACGGAGTGCCTTTTATTTTAACATACTCCGTTTTTAAACTTCTTGGTATAATAAATATTTTAAATAAATGACCTAAGCTAGATCAGAATAATCATCTATAAGGTTAAATACCTTGCACATGAATCGAACTCTTGATCTAAGGTGCTATGAAACGTCAGCCACATTTTAAAAGATGGAATGAAGGTATACAAATACTTATTACATGGCAAAAATATGGAAGCCGACGCATGCCGATTATGGAATTTCGAAAGTTACGTACGCAAAATATGATCTTTGAAGTTTTATTAGGTCATTATATACAAAGGCATTTATTTTATAAAATATAATGCGTGATATTAAAAGGACTTCCTATAACATTAAATCAAAAGCGACATAAACCAATTTATCATTAAATGCACGTTTAATTCTCAAGTGTCATATTTTAAATAATAATGAAATGATAGAGACATATTTTTTAAATTATTTGTATGTAATATGTAAATCGTCTAGAGCATACGATCCTAGTATCGTAACCTTGAGAGCGATTTTATTGCAACCGCGAGCGTCCACCCCAGCACTTGAAGCGGTCATGGCCGCGGTACGTTTGCATTAAACGAGCGACGTCCGTTCATCTACGAAGGCGGCACCCGAATGGCCTTCTGTCGGCAAGCAGTGGATGGGGTGTGTTTATCCGCCTACCCCCACTCTCCGTGCCAGCTGAGCAGCGGCACGCTATATTTAGGTTGCGCTGTAAATATTCGCTCCAAGTACGGAAAGCGCCCCCTCCCCACAGGGTGGCATGTAGAGGTAAAATCCCGCGCTACATAATCGGTAAAAGTTGAAAGTTCACCAACGCCCGGCATACGAATTCGCGTTCGAAAAACGCTTTCTTTATATAAATTCCAACTTATTTGTCATTGTAGTTTCAACCGAGTGTACAATGCAGACACACACTAATCTCTTCTAGTAGCTGTTTCGAGCGGGACATTTTATGTAACAAAAAAGAACACAAAAAATCCCTGCAATCTCTTTCTGCAACCAAAGTTGTTGCATTTTTATTATGATTCTGATAAGTAGGCATCCACTATAAAATAACAGTAGCGCCGTAAACAATAATGATTTTATCCTTTTGTCAATTTCATGTCAAATATAATATAAATTAAAAACTGTAGAGACCCCTACAGTTTTTAATTTAAGCCAATAATACTTAATTGAGATACATCATGCAATTAACTTTACTGTTACTGCGACATCGTACAAATTCGGTTAAAACAAGTGAATATTAACTCGAACGAAAATAAATTTTGATCGTATGCTGGCTTCCAAAATATGAGTTTCTCTTTGGAAAAATTAAAACAGATTACCTCTATCCACCATGATGGGTGATTTGCGTGCGTGAATAACTGGAAATAGCGCTATTTTTTGCTGTCATGCGTCATTCGACAAAAAGTTATTTTGCTTTCATAGTTTTTTCTTGCATATTAAATATTAACATCATTATTGTCTTTGTTAGGAAAATTAAAAAATGGTAAAATGAAGGATAAACGGTAAAACACAGCTTGAAAAAAGTAAATGTTACTATACAATTTCAATTTGACACAAAACAATTGGAAGTGGAATATTATTGAGCAAATTATTCTTTAAAAGTATAATATAAATACAAACAGTTGTTTACATATATACTTAGTTTATATTGTGATAAAATATATTAAATAATAAATTTACTATCGTAGAATGTTTTAACTTTTATTGCATTCAAAATAATTACAATAAAACAAATACATACGATATAAACTTCAAACTATCGTTGGCTTGTCATTGATAACGGCTGGTTGACTGCTGAAACCGTATTAATTTGGGACTGATGGTCGGGCACTCGAACGGAGCTATGAGTGTGTTCAATTTCATCGAACCAAGTAAAATCTTTAATATTAAAATCGTATTCGGAGTGTTCTTCAGATTTGTATTTCTCATGTTTTGGGTCATGAAAGCTAACAATATTTAGCACTGGAGCCGTCCCACCAAAGGCTATTTTGTCCGCATAGCTAGTTACTGCTAGTATTGTGCCCGGAGCTTCGTAGGAACAAGCAATATAACGATTGTGAAGGTTGATTACTTCAACACAATTGGTTCCACTGCCGCCTATAATGGCGTACTTGCCCTTACGATTGAACTAGAACAGATTTAATTTGAATTGAAAATATGATATATATAAAATATGGCTCAGTATGTAGTTAAAATAATTTATTTTTTGTTAAATTAGTTATTACTTTATTTTATTCGGCATCTATTCCTTATCTCCTTACAAAAAAAACCTTTGAAAAATTTGTCTACTTATTATGCTCAATACAAATCTTTGGTTCAAGATGTTCAAATATAAGGTAATATTATTATTTGTATGTCTATTATATTAAATACTTATTAATTACTTTGTTTTTGAAACGACTTCATACATTTTGCCATTATACACTATTATATAAATACGTGTTCGGCATTCTCAGAGTATATAAGATCCTCTTAATCAACCCAATTAATACTTGTCGAAGTTTTAAGTCAGATTGATAAAAAAGAAATTAAAAAGCTCCATTGAAGTATTTGAAAAAAAAGCTATTGAAAATGGACAGACACAAAATTTTAAGCTGTTTTTTTTGTTTCTAACAAGCTCAATAGAGATTTTTTTAATATTCAACATATCGATTCTTTTGAAGGATATATAGCTTTTATTTAAATCACAACCCGAGTACCTTTATCTACATAAAGCAATTAACATTTCTACGTCCAAAACTTGGGCAAGTTGAATCGAACTATCCACATAATATTCAAGCAAGACCACAGTCAACTTTACAAAGCATAAGCTTAAGCTTACACCGTACTTACTCGTAGTAATATTCTCGAAATGAAAGGAAAACAACCCGCCCGAAATGTTGTCTAAGTGAGATAATTAAAATAACAATTTATATCATTTTATAAAACAGAATATAAGGATATAACGATAATATTTTTTTACATTTAGCTATCCTATTAATATATAAAAAATAGGTACTTACAATGTAAGTTTTTAAATAACAAATGTGAAGTTTAAAAGCTCAACCCGTTTTTATAGAAATTATTCTTATAAGCCAAAAAATCAATTAATTTTGATATACCTACATAAACCTTTAAATGAAGTTCTTTTTTAACAAAAATAATTGTTTAATCATGATGTATCAAATACAGTTAACCATGAAAAATGTATGTAAGTGGTTGGCCTCCAAAAGCATATGGTAATAGGTACCTATATATATAATAATAATATTCTTTATTGTACACCAAAAATAAATATAAAATAAAAAAAACAAGATGCACAGCAGGCGGCCTTATTATATATATATATATATATATATATATATATATATATATATATATATATATATATATATATATATATATATATATATATATATATATATATTCTTTATTGCATATTAACAGACTAACACAGATAATACAGAGACCAATATGGTCAAAGGTGGACTTATCTCTGGAAGAGATCTCTTCCAGCCAACCTATGGAAGTGAGAAATAGTGTTATATGACGGGACTAAAAGGGTGCAATTGATTTAAAATAACCTATACGATAACAAGAACAGGGTAGGCGGTTTTGTTTGCTGTCCCGTAGTATTTATTGCAGATAATGAAAAATTACACGACCTTTCTTTTAACAACATTGATCATATATTATGTAGAATACATGATATGATTAAAGACAATTAATTTCAATTTTAGTAGAAAACATAACGAACATCTATGAATAGCTCTTTCACTTCGAGGAATATTTTAAGGACCCAGTATGAAAAGATAGATTATAAAGATGCATTATAATTACCCTTTTAGATCTCCAATATCGACACGCATAGATATATTCACCGTCTACATCAGGACGCCTGTTCTGGACTCTTACGACGTGCAAACGCCTCTTGGCAACTAGGTCCCACACTGTAAGGGCCTCAGTTGGTTGCCAGCTTCCGGCAATGCAGTGATCTCTCTAAATTTATTGCTTTCGTTTAATAAGTTAATAATTTTAACAGCACAGATCTTGTAATAATAGATAATAAATTTTATACAATGTAGGTAAATGATTTATTATACCAAATGAAAGAAATTTTTTTTATAATATAATTGTTATATAAAAATATTATCATTATTTTATGTAAGCGCGCTTATTTATGCTAGAGCTCTATCTCCTTATTATACCTACTAGTCCTATGGGTTCTAAAGATGGAATAAACTCAGGAATTAAATAAACGGATTATATATATGATGATGATGTTCTCCTAACCGATTCCGGCCACGGCGGCCAAATGGCTAGGCTCATTGAGACTAGCCAACTACGCAGGAGATATTATAGTGCACAAGTGTACGCGCAGACACAACGTGCACTCTCTATTCCTGTCACTCTCATACTCCGGTGGGACGACTGCTCGACACGACCGGTAAGAGTTAAGGCGCAGGACCTCAGGCTTTACACGCTCTCCGAGGTACGGGGGTGAAACACCGCCAACTTCCCAACTCCGGGCTATTACTGAGGCTTACTATACAGAAAGACTCAATAACTAAACTTGGCCCGACCCGGGACTCGAACTCAGGACCTCTGGGTGTGCAGCCGTACATGCTAGCAACGACACCACCGAGGCAGTTATTATATATATACTGTACATATTTCCCGAGGTGTGAAGTTCCACAAAATCAAAACCCAAACACGAATACACAGAATGGTTAAATAGAATTCAAATTCAAAATTCCATATACCTCTATCATAAATTCAAACAAAATAAACGAAAGAAGTAGCCAAAAATTATGTGGCCAATATCTACATATGTATATAGTATACAGATAACCTCTAATGTATTTGGGCATTTATAGCGAACGATAGAATTTTAAAATATAATTCCTTAGAAGAACATTTTTACCGGAATAAAATTAGGTACCGAATTCCGAGAATAAATCTCTCGGGCAGTAGTATAAAGAGCGCGTTTATAATTAGTTTTACTCGATTTAATAAAGGCGCTCCACTCGGTGACCTTTAATCTATACATATAATAAAACTCTAAGTCGAATCTGTACATTAAATATTTTTTGGAAAATCTTATTGAAATAGACATTATTATCGATACAGAGTCCGAATCTATAGTTTTTAGAATTTTTGTCTGTCTGTCTGTCTCTCTGTCTGTTACCGCATCACGGAAAAACCACTGGAGGGATTTTGATAAAATTTGGTAAGATGGTAGTAGCTAGTTATCCGGGTCAACATACAGGATACTTTTTATCGCAGGAAAATATCTCATTTCTGAGAAAAAATACAAAAACTGCATAGTAAGAGTAACTAATATGTAAAACCTAAAAATTTGGTTTTTGGTCATCTGAACGCGGGCGGAGCCGCGGGTAATGATAGTACCAAATAAAATTCAACAAAAGGGAGGGTTCTATAATCTCTTTATAAGCTCTTTACGAGCACACACTAATGAAAAGTATTAAAAATAATATACCTCAAAGGCTCTAAACGAACTATGAGGGAACTTCAAAGTTGATAACGAGGGACAGAACTGGATGAGACGAAGTTTTCAACAAAGGTGGAGTTTTTAATTAAAACTACGTTGTCTTAGCTGTATAAATATCAAGTGCTACCAACTATACCAAGAGGCGCTGCTTAAGATTCAGATTGGTGTTTTATTTTTTGACACCAAAGAAAGAGTTATTATTTCGCTGCACGTGTGAAGGTCACTACAACTATTTTTATTAAAACCAACTGCCAAATTTTAAGTTTTATAGCATGGCTCTATTGAATATTTAAAGTATATTTAATATTTGAGACTAGCATTGCCCGCGGCTCCGCCCGCGTTCAGATGACCAAAAACCAAATTCTTAGGTTTTACATATTAGTATACTTTTACATTACAGTTTTTGTATTTTTTCTCATAAATGAGGTGTTTTCCCGCGGTGAAAAGTATCCTATATGTTAACCCGAATAATTAGCTATCACCATACCAAATTTCATCAAAATCCCTCCAGTAGTTTTTCTGTGATGCGGCAACAGACAGACAGACAGTCGAAAATTCTAAAAACTATAGATTCGGCCTCGGTATCGATAATAATGTTTATTTCAATAAGAATTCCAAAAAAATATCTAATGTACAGATTCGGCTTAGTTACAATTTTATTATATGTATAGATAAATAGGCAAATTCAAGTAAATTTAATTAAATCATTAATCTTCTTACAAACAGTTACTTTAAGCCGATCATTTAGAATAGTTTCACGTTTTGAATTAATTTCTTTATACATCACCAGTACTAAATAGATTTAATTCACACGTACTAGATACAATTTAATATAATTAAACAGCCGTTTAATTTTAACGATGCTTTAAACATTTACGCTAAAATAGGCATTTTCTTTATCACAATCTATATATTTAGCACACGATGTGAATACCACGAGGGTAATTTCATAACAGCCTTCATTTATCACTTGCTTTCACGGTACAAGTAAAATCCGACATATTTTTCGATTAATCTCACAAAATCCATGTAATGTGTTAAATATACGAAAACGGCTTTATCATTACGAAAATATATACAATATACAGCGGAAAAGCCTCGCTACGCCGCGCCGTCTCTTTATGTTTGCGTTAATTAATCTTCTGAAACATTGAAAGGAACTGTGGTATAAATTCAGTCAAGTTAAAGACTACATCTATACATATAACAAAATTGTAACTGAGCCTAATCTGTACATTGGATATTTCTTGGAAAATCGTATTGAAATAAACATTTTTATCGATACAGAGGCCGAATCTATAGTTTTTAGAATTTTTGTCTGCCTGTCTGTCTGTCTGTTACCGCATCACAGAAAAACCACTGGAGGGATTTTGATGAAATTTGGTATGGTGATAGCGGGTTATCCAGGTCAATATATAGAATACTTCTTACCGCGGAAAAATATCTCATTTTTGAGAAAAAATACAAAAACTGCAATATAAGAGTATACTAATATGTAAAACCTAAGAATTTGGTTTTTGGTCATTTAAACGGGCGGAGACCCAGGCAATGTTAGTTTTATATATTATACAATAATAATTGTTAGTGTATGTTTTTTAAACGATACTATGTCAACCTTTATAAGGGTCTATCACATAATGTAAGTTATCCAAAAATAACAAAAACATCAGAGTTACTATTAAGGACGAGTAAGTACTCAATAAGTTTAAGTGCGCTTTAGCGTTTAGCAATATAGCAACTAATACAAATGGACAAAACAGTAAAAAATAAAAAATTTTGACAAAAAAATATCTTGTTTTCGTCTTAATGATGTGCCTACTAACCGATATATCGTAGTCAGTTACAGATGTCAACGGCAGCAGTTAGTGTGTATTAAGCCCTTTTTAACGTCGCACTGCTGAGCACGGGCCTCCCTTCAATAAGAGGGAGATCAGGCCATAGTCCACCACGCTGGCCAAGTGCGGTTGACGCACTTCACATGTCTTTCGAAAACTTGCTAAGTTCTCTAAGACATGCAGGTTTCCTCACGATGTTTTCCTTCACCGTTAAGACAAGTGGTAATCATGTTGGAAATGATCCGCACATGAAAATATCAGAAGTGCGAGACCCGGGATTTGAACTCGCTTCACTCGGTTTCCCAAGCGAGCGCGTTACCACTGGGCTACCACTGCCTTAACAACAGTTAGTGTTTTATTATTATTATCCTTATATATGAACACTTAACGAAAACATGAGATGTGTTTTTTGGTAACACTTACCTAGGTTTTGTAATTACAATTAAAGTACATTGTGTTACCATATTTTTATCAACATCTTTATGCGTCACTATGCATTTTTTTAATCTGACTACTATAAAATTTACGAATGTTTGTATGTACACACACAGATGTTTGTTACGCTTTCACGCTGAAACCGCTGAATGTTTATGAAATATTGTACATAGAGTATGACAGAGTAGCAGTATAGGCTGTTTAGCATCTAGAGCGAAGTAAGGCCTAGTCGCTAGTATAAAAATAAAATTAAAATATAAAAATATAGAAAAAAACACATATTTAAGATTTTTTTAATTCAATTCTTTGTTATTTGGTTTTTAGGTGTGCCAGTTGGACACAGACAGCAAGTGTCACGTATAATTCCTATACAATAATTCCATTACCACATGACAAAAGAACTAACTAGGTACTCAAAAATGTAAACCAGAACAACTAAAATTATAGAAGTAACATCATTTATATTTTACTTTCATTCTCTATAAATTAATGTTTCATATCTAAAATTCAACAACAAAAGTCTCTACGATCGAGACGAGACTACTTACATGTTAATATATCAGCAGTTGAATAAATAAAGCCATGAAATCTAAGTTTTAAGAAGATCAAAGGTCACCTAGAAGTCAGTACTAAGAAAAGTCTAGAACATAAAACCAGATAGTAGAATAAGAAGCATTAACCTAATTTTTTTATACTCCAGGTTATGAATTGCAAATAACGGCTATAAATGACGAACGAAAGAAGCAAAGTGCCTAACCTAATGCTAGAATTGAACTAGCACAAAGCCACCATAACGAAATAAAATTGTTACTTCAAGCAATATTTTAAAACAGCAGAATTGTGTTTAATTCCATATTGTATTGATTCAGATAAAATTATTACTATGATAGATTAGACAAATCAGTTGTAACTTTAATACTATGACCTCATCATTAGATTCAATATTATTTATTTTACTGCCTAAAGTACCTATGTAATATAATATTTTATGTGTCGTAAAATTTTAGAGATGCAAAGATTTTGTTAGATCAATTTCAAAGCTGTAACGCGTTATCTTATGCCTGCCTTCAAATTAAAGTTTAATGGTAAATAAAATTTAATGGACACTTACATTCAGATCAATGCTATCACTACATATATTGACCCCTTCGAAAGTCATTACGCATCCGACTTTACATCTTATATCCCAGATCTGCAACAAAATAGTTTCATAAAATTGTAGGAATATAAAATTTATGAACATAATTCCTCTGACATTTCATTAGAATAAAACCCGGTTGTTAATCGGATAGAACAATCAAATTTTTATTTTAGCCATAAACCATGAAATAACAAACAAAAATAAATATATAGTGCAACTAGTTTAACCTTTACAAAGAATATTTTGTGAAAGCGTAAACTTTTAAATAAAACTATCTTTTCGGATTATTTTGCGGATTTATTTTCATTTTTGGTTTCCTACGTTTCGAACGCTTTACAGCATCCATGGTAACGGAAGAGACTGAGGTGTTACATGTCTTGAAGGTATAGTTGTTACAGACAGCCTACCCACAATTAACAAAATGAAAATTGCACCAATTACATTACAATATTTTAACTTTAAACATTTTTATAATTTTAATTAGTTTTATAACTGAATATGGAATATTATTTATTTAATAAGAAAGTATTAAAACGTAAACTAATAAAAATATGTTGTTCTTTAAAAACCGTGCAAGCGCTACTCATTGTTGGATCAAAACGGTAAAAGAGCGCTTAATAAATAATTTGAACAGTTAACTGCTAAGCAAAATATTTTAATCTCGAAAGAGACGCTTTGAGTTAGCGGTCGTTGTCCGCCATGTTTTATTCAGGCAGCGTTTAGAAGTGTACTCAACTCACTAGAGCTAGTAACTACCAAGTCAGTAAGTACAGAAATATGTAAAAATAAAAAAATATTGTAATATATAAGAGTTAAAGAGTGGGCAAGTGGTCATCGCTTGGCTTAAACGAGGCATTAGGGATAAAGCTTCGTTTAATTTAATCGTCATGTCCACCACAGACCTGTGTCAAAGAGACCGTTTTTGTTATCTTTTTTTCGTACAATGTTAAATTTAGTGTTGTCTTTTCTAAAAGAGAATACATTAAATACAGGAGCCTTTGATACGTTTAAGAATATTTACGTGAATATAAAAATACTTCTTTCACTAGCTGTGAAAAAGGAACGCTTGTTCAAAAGAAAATGGCATCTATTATTATTAATATTTAATTTTGTAGAGGAGCTGTTGTTGTATATATAAGTACAAGTAGTACTTATAACTCGTTTAGTGTTACTTTTACTAAGAATTTGATTTTAATTAACCTTAATCAAGTCACAAAGGGATTGATGGCTCTATTAAATCATGGCAAACGCTTTTAAGGGGCACATAAATTAGACAGATTTATAGATAACCAAACCAATTTAGATAGAGCACAGCTTAAACTTTTGCTGAACGCTTCCTGCAAAATGCCATTGATATTAATACATATAAAAGCTGTTCAAATAAAATGTATAGATTTTGCTTTTTGAAAATCAGTTTGTAATGAAATTTATTTTTGGTTTTGAATTTGGTACTATACTGTTGTAACTAACATACAATTCTATGAATTGTGTTTTGAACAGAAGACTGTTGAGCTCTAATGATATAAAACATATCTTATTTAAGCAAAATTATCACAAAACCAAATTATGTGTATATAGCTATAATGTATGCGTTTTAATGAGTAGATCTGTACGTGAGAGGTAAGTTAAATAACATTTTTTTACTCTTAAAGTATTATCCCAGGCTCCACTCGCGAACATGAAAGGCTTTTGATCGTGACATCGCAAGGCGCACACCTGCCCAAAGTGCATTCTTTGAAGTTTCCTAGGAATGAACTGCAGGCGCAACTTGTGCACTTTGTACGTTAGGTCCGCCTGAAAGAGCATAACAGAACTTTCACTCCCAGACAGAACGTGCTTTGCTCCTTTTATAGGACACTAGCATTGCCCGCGGCTCCGCCCGCGTTAAGATGACCAAAAACCAAATTCTTAGGTTTAACATATTAGTAAACTCTTACAGTGCAGTTTTTGTATTTTTTCTCAGAAATGAGATATTTTCCCGCAGTAAAAAGTATTCTATATGTTGACCCGGATAACCAGCTATCATCATACCAAATTTCATCAAAATCTATCCAGTGGTTTTCCCGTGATGCGGTAACAGACAGACAGAGAGACAAAAATTCTAAAAATTATAGATTCGGCCTCTTTATCAATAATAAAGTCTATTTCAATAAGATTTTCCAAAAAATATTTAATGTACAGATTCTGCTTAGTTACAATTTTATCATATGCATAGATAATATACATATAAAAGAGTCAACTATAAAAGCTATGACAATTATCTATGATCTACAATGATTAATTGTTAAGTATAATAAGCTTACAAGTTTAGTAGGTACATACATAGTATATCACAATGAAACGTACCTATACTTAAGCACCTAATACCATAGATCATCGATTTTTTATATACGTAAGGCTAAATATGAACAAGCAGTAAGTATATGTTACTGCTTGTTACGAATAAATATTATTATTTATTCGTAGGTAACATAACAGAAAAACAGGTGAACTCACATACCAACATATATATAGTTACAAGCTACACACATATTGTTTTTCTTTTAAAGTAAAGAATCAAAAAAATATATTAAAGTGTTCTTTAAATAAAAAATAAACTATTTACTTCAATATATAATTAAATGAAATTTGAAATATTAAAGCAACAAAATACACCGATATGGAAAAAGCAATCGCTATCTCTAAATCATCGTAGGTATATGTATTGTATTCAGCCCCTTTTTTTTAATGTCCCACTGCTGGGCACGGGTCTCCCATCGATATGAGGGAAATCAGGCCATAGTCCACCACGCTGGCCAAGTGCGGGTTGGCGGACTTCACATGTCTTTCGAAAACTTGCTAGGTTCTCTCAGACATGCAGGTTTCCTCACGATGTTTCAAAAGCAAGCGCGTTACCACTGGGCTACCACTGCCTGTTTCATCTTATATGTCGCATGTAAACTAAGGGTAATTTTGTTATTTTCGTCATCGGTGTGAGCTGTAATGTGATAACGAAATCCTTGACCAGCGACCCAGTTTCAAGTGCTAAGGACTATCGAATAACTCGTAAAACCTATCTGATATAGCCAATAAACTGAGATTATATTGGTGTGTCTTATATGAAGACGGTTTATTGTAATCGAGCAATATAGTAAGTAATGCGTTTCTGTAAAACTCCAAATATAAAGGTTACATTACGGCTTTGTTTTTATATTGTAATCGAATTTGTCATTTTATCTTACTTTATATTATTATGTCCTTTATATTGGCTCTTGATTGAAACTTAGTTCGTACTATTAGTTAAGAGGGACTGCTTTAACTCAAACTACATTTTTAAAATTGAAAAGATTTCCTGAAAAAAATCGAGAAGGATAGCCAATACAAGACGCAAGCTTCCGTAAGTATCGTTTTTCCTATTTACAGGGCCGGATTCAATCTTAGCGCTGCCCCTGGACATAGTAAAAATTACCGCCCTATTATCGAAATTTTGCATAAAATTGATAAAGTTTTGATAAAATTTATTAATTAACAATTAAAAAAAAATTACAATGTTAATTTTTTCAAAAATGCAAAATATATATTTTTCGAAAAAATGACTAGTTACTTTTTTTTAATTAAACATTTTTTTGGAAAATAATGAAAACGTTTTCGATAACGCGAAGAGATTTTTTTCCCACCCTCCGAATTTTGCCGCTTCAAAAAATTTGCCGCCCTGGGCACTAGCCCCGAGTGCACCTAGTGTAAACCTAGGTAAAACTTTACACACAGGATAAAAGACATACATGATTTATTCAACCATCAATACTGGTCTAACAAAATATTATTATTTTAATAATAATAAACAGCAGCTGCTAAAACAACCAGTCGCATTGTAAACCACATTGCATTTCCATTGGTGTATCATATTTATTATTATCTAATTAAATACATTTTGCATTCACTTGTTCAGCACTAGACGCAGACTAATGCATATTCAGTGAGCGGTAACTAGAAAATGTAAATGTTAAAGAGCTAATAACAATAAATTTAACACCTGACGTATTTCATTGGCATTTCTTTACGAGGGTATTTTATTCACATTGGTAAAATACGAATGTACACTCTAATAAAATATCCAATCATTATAAATTCCTATATGTAAATACAGCAAAACTTCTGCGACTATTTAAATTTTAAAAGATATATGTATGCGAATGTATTTTAAAAAATAAAGTATGATGAAAACAGCAGACCTTTATCCAGCAAAGCACAATTTAAAATAAGTTTATAAATTGTAAATACTAAAATATATATCTATACATATAATAAAATTGTAACTAAGTCGAATCTGTACAATAAATATTTTTTTGGAAAATCTAATTGAAATAAACATTATTATCGATAGAGTCCGAATCTATAGTTTTTAGAATTTTTGTCTGTCTGTCTGTCTGTTACCGCATCACGAGAAAACCACTGGACAGATTTTGATGAAATTTGGTATGATGATAGCTGGTTATCCGGGTCAACATATAAGATACTTTTTACCGCAGGAAAATATCTCATTTCTTAGAAAAAATACAAAAACTGCACTGTAAGAGTATACTAGTACTATGTAAAACTTAAGAATTTGGTTTTTGGTCATCTGAACGCGGGCAGAGCCGCGGGCAATGCTAGTTATAAAATATACTTGATGATCTGTTTTAAGTATCAAAGTGAAACAATTAAAAGCTCAACACTACGAAGTGTATCAAATGACTTACAATAACAGGCTTAATGAGAGTACTTTGTCACGAAACACTTAAAAATTCTTTACTTTAAATTAAGATGGCTACTTATTAACCTCTTGAGTTTCCATATCGTAGACTTTTATGGACGTGTCAGCATAACCAACAACAATTTTCGTCTGATCAGCTGTTATATCCAAAGAGAGAGCTGGAGATCTTTCTAAAGTAAATAATAGTTCACTCGAATATTACTGTAATACCTTTGATCTGAGTTAAGAAGACAGACATGAAAAATCTTTTTATCTGCAGTTTTGCTACAGTAAGTTTAAATAATAATTTGTCTATCTATTCTAGAGTAGGGATTATATAGACTATAAAATTGTAGCCGTGTTTTATACTATCAAATTTTAACTTTATACATCTTATCCTTTGTCCTTCTTTCACGTCGAAATGGAGTGACGGATCTGCGTGATTTTTTTTGTGTGCAGATAGTCAGAGGGCTGGAGAGTGACATAGGCTACTTTTTACTGCGGGAGATTATCTCATTCCCATGTGAAAACACGTTATAATACAACGCAAAAAATATTTATGATCAGAATTACTTGAAACTTGGTATTAATGTTCCTCAATATAAGTTCCTCAATAAAAATTTCCGAAATTCATACCATAAGGGGGTAAATAGGGAATGAAAGTTTGTATGAAACCTACCTTTTTAGAGTTATTTTGTAGTTTTAGCGCGAGCAAAGCCGCGGGTTCTGCTAGTATTATTATAAGGGCAGATAAAATAGTTTAATTTTCATGGATAATATTCAACAATAATTACATAACTACATAGGCACTTACACTATATCATGACATTTACTTTTGAATTTGAAAAGGAAAAAAAAAGGACATACAATAACTATTAATTATACATACGAGTAATGAAAGGTGTAGACGAGGAAGAAATTCCAGGGGTCCCATAAAATTGTGTGTTCAGGCATTCTAAAGCGGGATCTGCACGAATGCAGTATTCAGGAGGGTCATCTACTGAAGGGCATAGCTATAATAATGGAAATTACCTATGTTAGAAGAGTAATTGATTTTATTATTAACTTGACGACAAACATTTTATTTCTTTATTTCAAATCGTTTATAATCGTATGCCCATAAAGCAACTCAACGATCAGTTTTTTTCGACTACATATTTAAAGTTATTAAGATTTCTGATAATCTAAGAGTCCTCAGAATCAGATCAGTAGTTTCAAAACTGCGACAATCCAACAAAATTACAAGTTTTGCCTTCTAATAGAACACTAGTGACTCACTTTCATCCCCATTTTCACCCCCTTAAGGGATGATTTCCGGGATAAAAAGTATTTGAATGTCCTTCCCAGGGTTCCAAACTATTTTCTTACCAAATTTCATCTAAATCGGTTCAGTAGATCCAAAGATTACCCCCTAAAACGTCACAAATTCACGACCTTTACCTCTTTATAATGTTAGTATAGATCACTATACTAACATTATAAACAGTGTATTAGACATGGATTTGCGATTTTAAGAATACAATTAATTAATAATAGCTTAGCACCATTTTTAAAAGTACGAATTAAAGAATTGTCTTTAGTGTCAGTAATTTAGGTAAAAATAAAACTTATTAAAAAGCTTTGATTGTCTCCATTGATTGTATAGAATTAATTAAATTATATTTATGGTAGGTACCTACATATTATTATGTATGTAGGTATATCGTATTTTAATTTGTTTTATATATATTTTATTTCTCACTTTTATTTACCAATTTAAATACATAGGCACTAACATTAGGTATTTCTATTCGGTACACCGCTCCATCAGTGCAAGCCGCATAGCACACTCTATCTTCTACACGACTATATCTGAGAGCATACACAGGTTTTGGCGGGAACTGGATGTTACGTAATGTAAAAAGGACTACACCCGTACTGCCATGCCGCATCTAATAAAGTTAGATGCATTTAAAATTAATTGTTATATTAAATTAATAGCTGATTTCTAATTATAAATAATTCACATTTGTATAGTATAACAATATCTAGGTATATAAACCGATTTCTTTTTTTTTTAATATAATTTAAGTATAAGTACATCTACGAGAAAGGGGTGCATGATGAGATAACGAGTAATAGGGGAGAGTGGAAGAGGATGACTTACTGCAACGACCCTAAGTAATTTGAGAAATGGACAGGGAGATGGTGATATAAGTACATCTACGGATATTCATTCAACATGTAATAAAACATGTAATTAAACAATATGCCAAATTCTACCTGTATCATCCCTGACGCGTGGCCAACAATAATATGGTCACCGTTAGGAGAGTAGGTCAAAGCCGTTATGGCACCCAATTCAGAACAATACCATCGATTGAACAATATCTCGTTTCTTGTATTGTTTAAAAACTTCTTCTCGTTTTCTTTTATCCACGCAAACCGATTACGTGCCTCCGTATGGCCATAATAAAACAAGGGATACCAAATATTCGGAAATTCCTCATTTTTGTAATAAGATAAGATGTTGTTGACATATTCCCCAAGAATTTCCTTTTGTTCCTCCATATTTTATTCATGGCATAATAGATTTTTATAACAAACCAATATATTACCTATTATTATAATATAAATGAGGCTAAAGTTGATGCTGCTTCTAATAAAAAGTGAGTTTGAAGATATCATATGTACATAATAAAAAAATCAAGGTCATTCAATTAAGTTGCGTTGTAGATTTAGTCCACGAAAATAAAATTAAGTCCACATTTATCAGATATTACGTAATTTTGTGCCATTTCGATTTTCGGACATCCTAAAACTTTGGAAAGGTGTGTTAACACTATAATAAAATGCAATACATAAAATAGAATAAAAGGAACGACTTCAAAATCACACCATATAATCACCTTTATGGTGTGTTAGTTTTGAGTCGTATATAATATGAGACCGACCACCGTTAAGATCACCGTCACGGTAGGAACCCTCTATGCATAAAAAAATATTAAAACAGTTCACAATAAAAGACATCGCTTTAATTACTAACAAAAATACAGACGATTTGAGTATCTCGTCTTTTTTGAAGTCGGTCAAAAAAAAACAAATAATAAAACTGGGCTATACCTACTGCAAGTTAAGTAATATGATAATACCTAATATGCTATCTAGTATCTAACAGGAAGGTAGACTGACCAAAAGTAGTACAGGAACAATACCTATTAATATTTTGTTTAATGATGTTTAATATTTTTACCTGAATTAGACCTGTCGAATGGCCTACTACCAGAAATTCTCCATTTGGATTATAAACTATAGAGGTGATGAATCCTGTCTCCGACAAATAATTTATACTAGCTACGTTCTCATTGGGAGTATCTTCAAGAAATCTTTTTTGGTTATCTTGAATCCATCTAATGTCAGTTACGCTTAAATTTTTCTCAGCAAATGAGATAAAACCAGACGAACCACCTTCTTCTTCTCGTGCTAATTGTTTTTTTATTCGATAACCAAATTGTTTAAAAAAAACTTGAATGTCTGATTGACTCTCTGATAAGTTAAAACGACTGTAAGTTGAAATATTAAAAAGGCTGGAAGCCATTTCTGCAAATCATACAAATATCAGTTATCATGTAACAAGTACAAGATATCAGCTGCCAGAATTACCGTAAGGATTTGAATAGGTAATCATTGTCTTAACTCTTATATTTTAAAAAATCGAGATAAAGATTTTTAATGATTACAATTTAACTTTTAAAAAAATCTGATAATGACTTTAAATTTAAGTAAATTTAAATTATAAAAAATCCTAAATAATATTATGAAATATATATATTAAAATACGAAAAAATAATTATTTACCTTTACATTACAAATATGCATAGAAAGGAACGTTAACGCAAAGAATCAATTTATCCAACACTTTGATATTACTAGAAAGAAATAGATATAGCAATTTTACTACACGTTAAAACGAGAAAGCAAATAAGCGTCCCGTCAATAACGAGTTTAAACGATATTTGCCGAACACGACGCCATATTGTCTTGTCAGGTTAGGTGAAGGTAGAGAAAGCACTTGCTACAATATTTACCAAGTTTTTCGATAAAGCGTGTATTAATAATAGTGTCCGGCTTAAACCTTTAAGGTATGTATTAAATGTTGTATTTATAGCATTAATATAAATTCATTCGTAAGGTATCTAAAAAATCAATTTCTAATAATTGTCGGGTGTGGTATTTAGTTCATCTGATCTGATACTTACTTTGTTTATTTTCTTTAGAACACAAGATATCCGTCAATTCCATCAATTAGAGTGTAGATAGAAGTTTGAGTTTACTTTAAATATGTTTCTTTTTCATGTTTTGTTAGATTGTTTATAAATCAATAGCCAAGATTGCGTCGTGTACTAGCTTTCATAGTTTATTTTTTATAGGCGCAGGGTGCATCGCTGCATCCGCTGAACCATGAGTTATCAGATACCATCATCCCAGAGTCGCACGAGTAAGTAATTTTGTTTTATAATTAGATTAGATCGGCTATAAGTAATAGTTAAAAACATGATTAACATGATTTTTGTAATGACTCATACTATAGATATTGCTGTAACGTAACAATTGTATACTATATTTCATTATGTTCTATATTATATATTATTGAAATATGTCCTCCATAGTTGGATTATATTCATAAGTATATATTGATTTATTAAAGGGTGCTTTACTTTGTATAATAGTTTACATTATGTGTTTTTATGTAATTCTAGTGTCTCACAGTAATTATGGTGGGTCTGACGTGCCCATGGCACCAAGCAAGGAGCAGCAAACCCTTATGTGGCAGCAGAATTCATACTTGGTGGACTCTGGTATCAACTCTGGAGCTGCTACTCAGGTAAACAAGATTCCATTGTTAAAACTTACATATTGGGGAACCTAATTGTAGGTTTATATAGAAACTTAATAAATTTATACTGATAACAGTATAAATTTAAACTTTTAATTATAAAATATATACTACCAGTTTAAATGTGTTTGTATAAACAAACATATTTAAACAGTGTTTATACAAACACATTTAAACTGTAAACAGTTTACATTTTTTTTGAAATTAAAATATAGGAAATTATCATATTATTTTTTCACAATTGTCTGTTCCATTTGTATATGTAATAATGGAAGCGAAATCAACATATTTTTGATAATCAATCTGTTTTAATAAATACATACTTAAAAAGATTTTGAGGGATTTTAGTGGGACTTTTTCAATAAACAAATGTAAATTAAAAACTACTTTAGTTGGGTGAATAAATGTTAAAACCAAAAAGTTTATACATCTGTAATCCAAACATATTATAATAAAACTGTAGAGGCTGAGAGTTATTAAAATAATAAAGTGATTTATAAATATGTTAGTATATGAAATAAAATATTTTCATTCATTTTAGGTACCATCACTTACTGGCAAAGAAGATGACGAGATGGAAGGAGATCAACTCATGTTTGATCTTGATCAAGGTTTTGCACAAGGGTTTACCCAAGAACAAGTTGATGGTAAGTCCAATGCTTAGTTTACCACATGTTTTTAATACCTATATTTTACACATAAAATTACCCATACTGACTAGCTAAATGTCCAGATGAAACTACTGGACCTACAAATCCTAATTTTCTCGGGACATTTTGATAACGATAACACTAACGGTTTTTTTTTAATTCAATCCCTATAGGGATAATGTAAGATAAGCATAGTTTATATTTGGTTTTATTTTTATCCGAATCCATTTGAAATTTATATTCTTTAGTAAATATTTGTTCACTTACACAGTATTTTAGTTATTGAGCTTGGTTTGAATCTAATATTTTACATAAAATCATTCTTTTAAATTATAGACATGAACCAGCAGTTGTCACAGACACGCTCTCAACGTGTCCGCGCTGCCATGTTCCCTGAAACTCTAGAAGAAGGTATAGAGATCCCTTCCACACAGTTGGACCCCGCCCAGCCGACTGCTGTGCAGAGACTGTCTGAACCATCTCAGATGTTGAAACATGCCGTTGTTAATCTTATTAACTACCAGGATGATGCTGACTTGGCTACAAGGTGATAACAATTTTTTTTTTTCAAAAAATAACAAGTTTAAATATGTCCTGTACGTAAGGGGTTATTTAAAATATGCAGGTGGTAGCATATTTTTCTGAAACAAAACAAATCTTAAACAACAAATCTTAAAACTGGAGTTTGTGTTTACTGTTGATAAATTGTCTAATAATAAATTTAATGAATATGGCTAGCAATCTTTATAAATCACATTGAATTCTGTCTTCTAGGGCCATACCTGACTTGATTAAGCTCTTGAATGATGAAGACCAAGTAGTAGTGTCACAGGCTGCCATGATGGTCCACCAGCTATCAAAGAAAGAAGCATCTCGACATGCTATTATGAATTCTCCACAAATGGTTGCTGCTTTAGTACGCGCCATATCTAACAGCAATGATCTCGAAACAACCAAAGGAGCTGTAGGAACTCTGCATAATTTGTCACACCATAGACAAGGTTTGCTTGCAATTTTCAAGAGTGGTGGAATTCCAGCTCTGGTCAAACTTTTAAGCTCTCCAGTAGAATCAGTACTGTTCTATGCTATAACTACTCTGCATAATCTCTTATTGCATCAAGATGGTTCTAAAATGGCTGTCCGCTTAGCTGGAGGTTTACAAAAGATGGTTGCTCTGCTTCAAAGGAATAATGTGAAATTCTTGGCAATTGTCACTGATTGTCTGCAGATATTGGCTTATGGGAATCAAGAGTCAAAACTTATCATTCTTGCCTCCCAGGGACCTATTGAACTGGTCCGCATCATGCGTTCTTATGATTATGAAAAGTTGCTGTGGACCACTTCCAGAGTTCTGAAGGTAAGACTAATGTTTATGTTAAATAATAGATTTTTAAGAACAACATTATAAAATACTAGCGACTCACCCTTGCTTCGCTCGAGTTCATCTCTAGGTTGCTTCTCCACACAAAATGTGTTTTCACACTCTTAAGATGAAGATTGTTCAGTGATAAAAACTATATCCTATGTCCTTCCCAGGGTCTCTAAACTATCTTCTTATCAACCATGTAAATCGGTTCAATAGTGTCAGAGCCTATTTGATACAAACAAACAAAAAAACTATTTTTTTCTCTTTATATTAGAATTAAGAATAGATTTAATGAGGAATATTTAAATTTTACAATATAATCAACAGTACAATAAATAACAATATACTTAGTTACAAAGTTAAAGAATTGCTTTTATGACTATCTCTTCTCTTCTGTTTCTAACTCTAAAAGATACTCTAAGAGACAGATCATATACCATCAGATCATATATATCAGATACTCTACAGACAGATCTGTCTTAAAATCACATATAATCTGTTCAACTAATAGTTGCCAGCATGGACTGAAACACTTTGTGACCAAAGTGTAATACAAATAAACAAGAGATGAAAAATCATAGATTATTCAAACATAGAAATGGTTATGTTTATGCCAAATACAATCTGCTATAATTTATTTATAATTTATTTTTTGATAAGCTAACATCCAGTGACACCTTTCTTCCTGTTAATTATGCATTGTAAATTACTTTGGGGCATGTTGTATAAATAAAATGTTTAACCTGGGTGACCAAGCTCCACTCGGCACTTTTATAAAATCATGTTTTTTGAAAAGATATATAAATGGCGTTTTTTATATTACACACTTAAAAAGCAAAACCTCATCTAATATAAAATTTGTTCGAAAATGTTCCGAGGTACACGAAATATATATATATATATATATATATATATATATACATATTCAATTGCTAATTTAATATGAGAATATTTATGTATAGTAGTTAGTAGTAGTATATAAGTACACATTATACAAAAATAATAATTTTGCAGGTGTTGTCAGTCTGCTCTAGCAATAAACCAGCGATAGTCGAAGCCGGCGGCATGCAAGCTCTTGCCATGCACCTTGGCAACCCCAGTGGCCGCCTGGTGCAGAACTGCCTGTGGACTTTACGCAACTTGTCCGATGCTGCCACTAAGGCTAGTATTATATCAGACTATTTGTTGTTTTTATTTTAAAACTTTTTTGAGTTACTTAATTAAGTATATTTTGTTTTTATGGCTAATCTTCCTAACATTCTAGCACACCGACTTTTGGATAAGAACAGTTTTATCATTTATGCAATTTTGTTCTCACCTTGTATGTACATTGAATATGTAGTTAAAAACGTCATTGCACATATGTGTATATGTGAAATCATAGAAATATCAATATTTATTTTTTAGGTGGAAGGTTTGGAAGCTCTTCTTCAGAGCTTAGTACAAGTGCTTGCCTCCACCGACGTTAACATTGTGACTTGCGCCGCTGGAATCTTGTCCAACTTGACTTGTAACAACCAACGCAATAAGGTAAGTGATACTGAAAATAACTTATTTTTAATTTATATGTATATAAAAAACGAAATCTGTACATTAAATATTTTTAAACACAATAACTGTTACAGAACAGTTATGTACAGCTTACAGAATATAGACCCCGAAACAATAGATTGCAATTTTTTCTGTTTACCTGTTTACTTTACACAAGAAGTACTTACCAATTTTAACACCTCCAGGTAAATTTCTAAGAAATCTATTGTTAACTGTAACGCCGGCGTGTCCGCGGCCGTGGAGGGATTAAACAAATTTTGTGTAATGATAAATTATTACTTTAGTCATATAATACTTATTACTACTGATAAATTTATCTTTTCACACAGGAAAACACTATAATTACAATTATTATTGTGTTTTCGTAAAATGGCAACAGAGGCGTCCAACTAATAATTATTATTATGTAAAACTAAAGTTATATATAAAATGTTTATTAACAAGTGTAAAACTTTTTGAAGAAATAAAGTGTTATAAATAAATAAAATATATAAAATATGTTAATCTTTCTGAATTAAAAATGTAATGAGTCATTTAAGTCTTTAGTGTTCATGAGGTGATTAAAAAAAAACATTGTGATATACATCCTTTTTGCTGAGTTGCTAGGAATTATTAATCTGTAACACTACTATTATACAGAGGAAAGATTTGTATTTTTGTGGTGAATGAACTCAAAAAATTACTGGACCGATTTAATGAAATTTAGTAAGAAGATAGTTTGAGATCCTGGGAAAGATATAGGGTATGTTTTATCCCAGAAATCAACCTTTAAGGGGATGAAAGTTTGTATGGGGAATCAACCTAAGGAAGAATCTGAGCGAAGAGAGGGTGAGTCGCTAGTAACCAATAGAAATACAACCAAATACTAATTGTTATATAATTTGCAGGTGACAGTATGCCAGGCGGGCGGCGTGGACGCGCTGGTGCGCACCGTGGTGTCGGCCGGCGACCGCGAGGAGATCACCGAGCCCGCCGTGTGCGCACTGCGCCACCTCACCTCGCGCCACGTCGAGAGCGAGATGGCCCAGAACGCCGTTAGGCTGCACTATGGATTGCCGGTTAGGAGATATTTAATTTATTTAAAAAAGAAATGTGTGTGTGTGCTTTTGGCTGTCGGGATTCGCGAGCGTTGTAAAAATTTTTTCCAAACGTGCCAAAAGAAGTATAACATCAAAAATTAGACTTCACATTATTTTTATAAATAAGAAAGCTCATATGTTTGTTTACTTTATCACACCAACCAGTCTCCTCCGTGTCTTCTCTATTCTATGTGACATTAACCAAGTAATCTGTGCTCAACTGGCAAGCTTTAAAGTTATTAAAAAAATTGCATTGAATTACTTTATGGTGCTGTAATGGATTAACAGATGTTTTCATACACCTAGCTTCAAGTTTATTCAAGATGTGTTTGAGATGACTGATTTAAATGTTTTTTTTTATTTATTGACTTTAAAGTTTTTAAAGATATTTAAATACACTTTTTAAGTTATGATTTTTGGTATGACATGACATTTTACTTTTTGAATACTCACATAATAAAAATATTCATTAATTATTTTTAAACAACAAGTTTTAATTCTTAAATAGCAGTACAGTTCCAAGCAACAGTGACAAAAATCCAGCAAGTACCATCAACCCTAACTAAAAAAAAACCCATCACGTGCCAGGTAATAGTGAAGCTCCTGCAACCGCCGTCGCGCTGGCCGCTGGTGAAGGCGGTGGTGGGGCTGGTGCGCAACCTGGCGCTGTGCCCCGCCAACCACGCGCCGCTGCGCGAGCACGGCGCCGTGCACCACCTCGTGCGCCTGCTGCTGCGCGCCTTCAATGACACGCAGCGGGTTTGTCGTTATCTTGTATTATTAACTAGCTCGGGTTCATCCGTAGGTACTTTTTTTGTTATTGAGTGGTACCTTAATTAATATTATTTTAAAATAAAGGTAGCGTTAGTTACTCTATAACATTAGCTATGTTATAATAATATATCGGTCAGTGAAAGTGTAAGTTCTGTCAAAATCAGTCCAGCCCTTTGTCTTTTTTTTTAAATACAATGACAAAGGTAAACTTAAAAACAAAACCTTACCGAAATACAAATTTTGAATTCAAGTCGTTAGAGTTGTTTCCGAGATATACGAAATAAAATGTACTTACTAGCAATACCCGCGGCTTGCGCAAAAAATCTCTAAGAAGGCTCTAAAAGGTAAGTGTCATACAAACTTAAATCCTCTTTTTATAATTCATGATGAGGTTATGGGATGAATTTTGGAATATGCTGCAATTAATTAATTGTATTGTAGAGCATTAATACTAAATTTCAATTTCGTCTTATAAATAAAATTCTGATCATAAATATTTTTTGGGTTGTATTTTAACGTATTTTCCCTTGGGAATGAGATAATCTCCCACGGTATAGAAATGGTAGCCTATGTCATTCTTCAACGCTTCACGTCTCACTGCCGGGCACGGGCCTCGCTTCAATACGAGGAGGATCGGGCCATAGTCCACCACGCTGGCCCAGTGCGGGTTGGCGGAAAACTCATTTATAATATTAGTATGGATATACAAGAATTGCTCATTCAATATTATTCTAAAATGTAAATGAATAAATAAACAATTTCCAGCAACGCACATCGGTGCCGGGCGGCGGCGGCGCGGGCGGCGCGGGCGGCGCGTACGCGGACGGCGTGCGCATGGAGGAGATCGTGGAGGGCGCGGTGGGCGCGCTGCACATCCTGGCGCGCGAGGGGCTCAACCGCACGCTCATACGCCAGCAGAATGTCATACCGATATTTGTGCAGCTGCTGTTCAATGAGATTGAGAATATACAGGTATCCATTATATTGTCAGAATGTTTGTTACTTTATCCTACCGAATGGATTTAGATGAAACTTAACAGTAATATGGCTTATACGTCAGAGTAACATATAGCTATAATTTTTATAATAGTAATATATAATTGAATTACGCGTGCGGGGCCGTGTGAAAAAGCTAGTATTATTCAATTATGTATGTATGCCTTCGCATCACTCGGGCTCATTCATAGGGAAGTGCACATAGCGTTGCTACATTTTAATAGGTAAGTTTTTTTAATAGGAATAATTCTTTAATACATTGTTTTCAAAAGTTTTTACAAAAAATATAGTTTACTATAAAGGTTTTATATAAACTGAATCTCATATTAATGTAATTGTATAATATTCATATATTAATCTAGTGAAGGTGTCTAACAAGTATACAAAATTTCATAAGTATATAAGTATCAATAAAATTATCGAGTTAGCGACTTTAAAACATTTTTCTATGTACAGCGCGTGGCAGCCGGCGTGCTCTGCGAGCTGGCCGCTGATAAAGAAGGCGCCGAGATGATAGAGGCTGAAGGCGCTACGGCCCCGCTCACTGAACTGCTGCACTCGCGTAACGAAGGTAGTCATATTTATAGTGTTTTTCTTTATTAAATTATATTCCTAGATTTTTAGAAAAAAAAATGGTGTTAAAAATTAAACAGATTTTTGACAATATTATTCATTTACCCTTATGTACTTATACATATAATTATGTTATATATATGTGTACATTATATATTATGTGATTTGCTTGCTGCGCACTATTTACTATCCAGTATCTGGGCACTCGGCGGTAATTGAAAAACTTTTTTTTTTCAGAAAAGACCTATATAATATATAGTTAAATTTGAAAAGCAATTAGCAATTAATATTATAAAGTACATACATATATCATAAAGTTGAGTTTGTGTATTTTTACTTAAACGCTCTAACCTCTTGAATTACTCGAACAATAGTAATAATAATTAAGAAAGGTTAATGACTATCTAACATCAAGCTACGAACCTTAACAGCTGAACGCAACAAATAGAAGCTCGATTTATTTTTTGAGTGAAAAAGATAGAAGTAAATTGTTATTTTTTTATTTATTATTTAATTTTGTTTATATATAATTCCAGGTGTTGCGACGTACGCGGCCGCCGTACTCTTCCGCATGTCCGAAGACAAACCGCACGACTACAAAAAGAGACTCTCCATGGAGTTAACCAACTCACTGTTCCGCGACGACCAACAGATGTGGCCCAATGATCTCGGCATGCAACCTGATTTGCAAGTGAGTGGTTTATGTAGTATTTTGGTGTATATATGGCGGGAAAATTGTAAAAACCGTTAAATTTTGTTTCCATGGTAAGCTAAGAGGCTTGTGTTATGGATACCAGATGGTAGATACAATACACATATATAGCTTTAAATACTTACATCTAATCTAATATATTTAAACGAGCAATTCTTGTATATATATTTATATATATCTATATAATCTGAATCTCGGAAACGGCTTCAACGATCTTCATGAAATTTAGCATACAGGGGGTTTCGGGGGCGATAAATCGATCTGGATTAGTTTTATGTCTGGGAAAACGCGTGTTTTCAAGTTTTCATGCGGGTTTGCTTCGCATTATTTCACGCAAAATATAGTCGCTAATTCACACGCTAGGACATAAGCATCGTGGTCAAACGGCCTAAGCGCAAATTTGACAACCACAGGTGTCGGGGTTCGTATCCCGGTCGGATAGAAAGTTTATACTTTTGTTTTTTTTGTATTCAAATTTTTTGTTTGTTTTTTTTAAATGTTTTCTTTGGCCAAAAACTCCGAGTGTAGCCCAGGTACTATTATAAATATATAATCATAATAATTATAATAAATATTTAGTGAAATTGTCAAAATCTCATTGATTCACAATATCACCGAACGCGCTTAGTGAAATTATAATGTACCTAACGTTGTCCTGTAATATTGTAAGAATAGGAGACAATTGACAAAACTACTTATATAAGTACTAGCTAGCATTGCCCGCAGCTCCGCCCGCGTTCAGATTACCAAAAACAAAATTCTTAGGTTTTACATATTAGTATACTCTTACAATGAAGTTTTCGCAATTTTTCTCAGAAATGAGATATTTTCCCGTGGTAAAAAGTATCCCATATGTTGACCCGGATAACCAGCTATCACCATATACAAATTTTATGAAAATCCCTCCTGTGGTTTTTCCGTGATGCAGTAACAGACGAACACAAATTCTAAAAACTATAGATTCAGCCTCTGTATCGATAATAATGTCTATTTCAATAAGATTTTCAAAAAAATATTTAATGTACAGATTCGGCTTAGTTTCAATTTTATTATATGAATAGATAAGCACAATACGGGGCAATTATAATTTCACTAGTGAAATTATAATTTAACGGATTTTACAATTTACCTGTGACATTTATAATAATATGTAATCTTGTTTTATGTTTGTTTTGTTATGTACATATATGTTTAATCATTAGATAAAAGTTATTCGACAAATAAATGATAACTGATGTTTTTTTTTAATTTTAAAAGTTTTACTTTATAATTAATTTTAGTTGTGTTACAGTAAATAGCATTTCTCTAATGATTTATAAATCAGACCTAAAGAAAATTTAAATGGACGAGGTTGTGTTGAGAAATTATTGATGCAATTTTTTTAATGCTATAGGTTCTGGTTAATTTTATATTTTAATAAATAATACATAATAAGTTTTGTAAATATAAATTTCTTATATAATACAAAAAATATTTTATTTTATGTATGTTCTTTTGATGCATCCTTGTCCTACAATAAATGAATCGATGTCATATTTTTTTATTTGAAATAAAACAACTGATGTTGTCTTGATACATGTTCAATGTTAAATGTTATATATTGCGGAACTATTTTTCCCTCCAATTAAACTGTCATAATATTTTTATTTAATTGATACAATATGTTGCTTGCTTCTCAATCACTTAATTTTTAAATACAATACAAACTGACGATTCAACATGTTATTTTATCAATTATCATTAAATGTCTAAAACATTTAATTTATTGAAGTTAAACTTCTTTAGGCGTGACTGAGGAAAAGTCAATACATTGGAATATTCAGTGTCGCGGAAGCGAGAGTCTTTATCATTAATAATTTAAAAAAATATACAATTTTTATATTTTTATTATAATTAATTTTTATAAAAAATATTATATTTAGATTTGTTTTTGCCACGACTCCAAAGAAGGTTTACTTCAACCGCGCGTTAAGGTTACACGCGCAATTTTTTTCTTTATCATAACAACTACATATTATGTTCGTTTAATTTCTTTGCCTACATGAATAATCTATGTTTGCAATTTATAATGATTTTGCTTTTTCGTTTCGTATTGATACTATGACCGTTATTAGGACATGCTCGGGCCAGAGCAAGGGTATGAAGGCTTGTATGGGACGCGACCCTCCTTTCATCAACAAGGTAAGAATTTGAATATCGAACACAGTTTGGTACTAACCCTTCAATAGTTATTGTAGATCTCTCATATGGTATATGTAACAGATTAAATATATAGCTATTTTATTCAAGTAGACCATAGATATAGCAAATATTTCCATCTAGAACAATAATGGCGTAAGTCGGAAACTTTCCAGTAATTATTAATTAAACATTTCTCTCTATAAATGTAATTCTATGTTTATTTATTTAATATTTTGAAATTGTTGGTTATGTACTATAGCATGCGTTATTTGTGAACTTAAATGTTATAAAAAATATATATATGAAGGGAAACTTATGTCTTTATTGTTCTTACATAAACCCTTTACCTTTTTACTACTTTCCAACTCGTATTAGATTTTTGTATAACATTTTTATTTAATTTATAAAAGGTGCCTTTGTTCAGCGTATTAATTTTCTAATAATAATTATTATTTAATAAAAAAAACTTAAATATTTACTTTTACTAAAACATGATCTCGGGGGTTTGTATATATTAAAACTTTATTAGAACTACTTTAAATCAGTATAAATAGTCAGTCTGTAAATAAACAGTGAAGCATGTTAGGGAACGGACAAACTGTCAAAATGTAATAATTTATATGGATCTGTTAATTTTCTTTTCGATATGCTTTGAGGCCGTTAACAAGAAAATTGAATTAAATTGAATAATTCTGTTACATATATCATTATTTAAATAGCTAACATGTTTATTCAATGTATTGTATCACTCGTGTTATGAAATCTTTGTATAAATATGTTCTCTCTCTTCTTTACACGCAGCTTAATCCGGGACCTATTTATCACTAAACAGGTGATGGGAATATTATTATTATTTGTTTGTGATATAACTATTTATGTTTATTGTGTGTTTTATTGTATGTATGTATATTTTTTCTATATGGACGTTGTTATGCCAAATAGATCCAACTACAAAAACTTACTTTTGAGATATTATATCAAAGTAAAAAGACCATAGTTTTTTTTTAATTTTATCTACTTTCTTTATATAAGTTGATATGTAGGTGCCATTTATGACAGTAACTCAAAAAATGGTTTTCGTGGGCTGGATTCATTTTGCATAACTACATCCATATAAAACACTAATTCACTGTTTTTTTTAATATGTGTGAGATGTGAGTGTTTGCTTTGGTTGCTAAAATGTATCTTTGATTATTTCATAACTGACTCAACTCGATTTATTTTTTAATCAAAGATTTAGCTTAGGTGATATACTTAATTAAAGAACAGTATATAATCATTTTTTTAGTGTAAAATATATTTGTTACTTGTTTATTTTTATTTTCTAAACTAAATTTTGCCATGATAAGTTTACATGTTATTGAAAAGTAAGTATTTAATCCTTAGTATTGATTTTTAAAATTGATATTATATCTATTTGAGAGGTATGTAATCTGTTCATTAAAACATGTAAATCAATTCAAAAATTTAATTCAAAAAATAGTGAAAAAATTGGGTACTTTCTCTTTTTTGAAGATGGCAAAAAATTAAAAGAGGTTTTTTATTGGTTAGGAACTATGTATTTATAAGCTAGGTAGCTTATATATTATCTTACTTTAGTTTGTATTCTTTATTCAGTTTTAGTTTAATTTTATAGTTTTCATATAAGTAATTGTTGATCATAGTTATACAATTAACTGACTGATTTGATTTGAGAAGAATAATAGGTATGTTTATTACAAATATTATAGCAAAAAATTTGGCAATTTAAATGTTGATTATAAATAACTTTTATAAATAACTTGTCACTAATCATCCCACATTTTTTTTTAATACAAGAATAAAAAAAAACTTGGCTAATATGTAATTATTACGTACACAACTACACGTTTACATACAAATCATTTGAATTTATCAGCCTACAATCATACTAATTTACATGCTTAAACGCGTATTAAAAGTGAAATAAGTTGATAAGTTGAATTACATATATTTTTATCAAAGTAAAAAAATATATAACATCTTTTATAATTATTATCATTTTTGGAATATTTATATTACTTAATAATAATTAATATTTAAAAATATAATTAGTTGTCTAAAACCAATTATTTTTTTATTTATTTAATTTAACTATTAATAATAATACTTTCTTAGATTTACGCGAATATTTGACATTTCAAATAAAACTATCTCTTCGGTTTTTTTTTTCACGGATTTACGTTTACACGGATAGACGTTTCGAATATTTTACAGCAACCATGGTCACGGAAGAGACTGTGATTGCTCTAAAGCATTCGAAACATCGGGAACCAAAAATCGAAATAAATACGCGAAAAAATCCGAAGAGATAATTTTTTTTTAAATAATAATTATCAATATTTACTATCGTGTAAAGGTAAATTCAACTTATCACTTTATTCACCGATTCACTACAAACAAATCAATAATCTAAACTCTCATTGCAGGCTACGATCAAATACCGATAGATTCAATGCAGGGCCTGGAGATAGGTAGCGGGTTCGGTATGGACATGGACATGGAGGCGGACGCGGCCGGCGCCGACCTCGCCTTCCCCGAGCCGCCGCACGACAACGCCAACGTGGCCGCCTGGTACGACACCGACCTGTAAACTGCCCGAATTCAAATTTAGAACAGCTCCTGTTTGTTTCTTTTTTTTTGATAAGTTGATGATTTGACGCGCAATGGTCTTGGGTAGAGAGGCTAGAGATGTAATGTGTTAAATGAGGTTTTGTATGTATTGCTTCGGTGTGATCTGTTGTGTTTTCTTTATATATCCGCAAACTGTAATTTTAATAGTACGTAGACATCTTTGCGCGGAAAGATCTATAAATGATATGAGAAGTCAAATTAAGTGGGTAAAGGTGTCATGGGGCTATGTGCTCAAAAAAGTATTCAATGCAATAGTCTATTTTTCTTTTTAAATAATGGTAATGGTCTTTGCGGTTTCATATCGCGATTGGTTTAAACTTTAATTATATGTACACCTTTACATTTATGTGAAATTGCAACTACAATATGTAATAACGCTTTTGATAATAAAAAAAAATCTATATGAATAGTGGATTTTCGATTATTACTTCGTTACTTTCAAATTAGTAACTTAGCTGATAGTCTGCCAAGATAAAAAAGAATTCTTGATTTCCACTGTACTGGTATTATTTATGCCATTTTTATATCAAATTTGAATAACTATGGAATACATAAAGAACATTACAATTAGGGTATATGTTCCACGTTTTATTAAAATGCGCAAAAAACTCACTTCAAATTGTTATTGTGTCTCTACCCTAATCATTGACGCGTTTTTGTTACTATTTCGAACAAATCAAGTTTTATGACACGTACAAAACTATTATAATTATTTTATATGACTACCTATCGATACATTGTTTTAATTTCGCCATACAATTCGGAGGTTTCTCTATGAAACTTACAAATTACACTCTGTGATAAATCGACATTAGAACATATCGGAAACGGCAGCTTGGTTTTAATATAAAATATTTCATTTTATTTGAACTCGACGATACATTATAAAAATTACATGGTGCTATGTTTGAGAATTATAAAAATGAACGAGCAAAAATATCGCCCTGCATTGGTTATATCGTTTTTGTACGCGGACGTATGAAATGCGTGTAATCGGAAAATAGGGTATACTATACACTTAAGTATAAATAGGCTTTAAAATAATACTAAGGCTCATTTTCACTGGTCGTTAGATCCCGATAGGTGAATGCGGGAGATTATTATTATATGTTACCTATATATGGTGGTTACACCATATATAAAATCCGGGACTGTGCATGCGACATGTTCCCGCGGCTCGCGGGGAACACCCGCAGCTGTAAATGAAGTGCGATATCGATAAAGTACCCATAAGTCGTTGGCTCGCGTTCGGGGAGTCCCCGCGCGCAAGACAACGATGAAATTTAACGATCAGTTAAAATGAGCCTTATAGCTGTTAAGTGACTTGATTTATCTAATTCGTGCATTTAAGTTTGTAGTGTGACTTATTTTATTATTGGCTGAATGACATTTTATTTAAATAACGCATAAGACTGTTTGATTGTGTAAGGGTTGTATTTTATACGTTTGACTGCCATTTTGTTTTTTATCTAAATCATCAATATTTATACTTGGACACTTTATGTAAGATAATAATGATATTAATCGTCGTAACTGATTGCATCTTGCGAAAAATGTTGTGTCAAAGTGATTTAGGTTGGATCATTCGATTGATTCATATTTTTCATATTGATTCAATCACGATTCATAAATGATTTTAATTAGTGTCTCTACTTACATGATTGTAAGTTGCAACGGATTTTTGCGATTTACTAAGAATCGTGCAACTTGCAGTGTCCAAGTGTGAATAAAATTAAAACACACGACTGTATGAATCGGAATTAGCTATTTGAGAATATATTTGAAACTAAATACGAATAGTTTTAAGGATGTATTGGAAACTACGATTTCCCTTCGTTAGTTGTTAGAGTGACGTAATAAATGGAATAGAAATAATGCGTTAAATAGCGCCATGTTTTATGTCTTAATAATCGACTTTTTTAATGGTATCATGTAGCAGCCATAGGCGAATGTTAAGTTGTGTGTACATTATACATATTTAAATGAGGTTTTAACTTTAAATTGATAGATTTTACGATTATTCTAGACATTGAAGACAGGTATTGATGAAGGCTACAATTAAATGCTACTACATATTTAGCGCCATGGAAATGACATTGATGACGTCATTTTGCAGTTAAAACTTTGCTTCAAATATTATTCATAACAAAATTATGGGTGTACACACAGTTTGACAAACACTGTGTTCTATTCTTGAATATTATATAAATAATTAGGTAATGCACAAGTAACAAAACACACGTAGACTTAGCGTATTGTAACCGTCTAATGTAAGTTTTAGTATTATATCGTAATTCCTTTAGGGTCCTCATATATAATTTTTCTATTTGATATTTTAAGTATCTTTATCAATGTTTTTAAAGTAATTAACTTATGAAGACATTGCTGAAGTATGGTTTTATGTCCATTTATGTATGGATATTAAAGTAAATTTAAAATTTTATTGTGTTTTATTTTTATTCACCCTTTTACTATTAGACGATTGGTATTGATATATTTTGTTTTTATATGAAGTTGATAGTGCATTTTTTTTTAAATATCGACCTTATTTAGTTTTTGTACAGTTCACTTTTTTCTTGGATAACATTAAAAAAATATATATTCGTTTGAGGAGGATTGAAATTTGAAACATAGCTTAAACATGCTAGCTCCTACTATATGTATACTTAAATATTTGTGGAATTAAAATGTATTAAGCAATTCTAATAGTTTATAACGACGCCTATAAATAATAAAAATTTAGAATAATAAAATTAATTTAAAGAGCGTCGTTACGTATGCACAAAAGCAAATTAAGAAGCTAAACGTATATTACCAAAACATATCCCATTGAATAACTTTGCTTACCTGGTACGTAAAATACCATCTCCTAATTGTTCAGAATGTGACGTTGTCGAAGATGTTTACCATGTCCTAGTGGAATGTGTCCGAAATGAGGTCGAAAGATTAGAATTATTGAGCAATATAAATTTATTTGAATTAGGTGCATGCAATTATATTTTAGGTCGTCCTGAATCAAAGGAAGCTAGAGTATTATATAAGATTTATAAAATAGCTGTAAAGCGTCGGTGAGTTGTTTGTAGTTGCTCCAATGAGGGTGGCATGTTCAATTTATGAACAAACCCTCTTTAAAAAAAAAAAGATATAAAAAATGTATATTCCGAAATTCGTAATATTATCAAAGATAATAGTTTTAAACCATAACTATACCATAACACCATAGCTGCCCTTTTGAACGTTGGAAAATGCTTACGCAAACGAAACAATCGGTAGATATAGATATACACTGAGTTACATAAGTCATCGACTAAGACCCAGTAGATTTTTGAATGGCAAAACTTTTGCCATTTTGAAAGAGCGCATGGTAATCGTTATTAATTAAACATGATATATCTAATAAAGAGCTTTCCCATGTGAATTTAAATTCCCATGGAAATTATATGAGCTATTATTATAATTTAATGATTACCCCTAGTGACTCTGTGGAACTATCAAAGCCACTTTACAGTACGTACATAGGTTCTATGTAGGTACTAAAGTATCAATAACTTAAACAATCCGCTTATCACTAATACTAATGACGCTTATCACTAATAATAAGACGTTTAATATAAATGTTGTTCGAATTTGTATATATTTAACCAACCTTCAAAAAGGCAGACGTTCTATGTTCGTCTGCATGTTTTTTTTTATATGTATTCAACATATCGTAGAAATTTGTCTCTTGTCTGTTCTATGCCTGTTTGTGTGAATTTCATGCAAAAAGTACTGAACGAATTTAAAATTATTTTGTGTAATGATAACTTATTACTTGGTTCAACATTTAGAATACCTTTTACTATAGAAAATCATTTCCAAGGGAAAACTAGAACTGGTTCGGCCAAGTTGTTCTTTAAACAAAAATTTCAATGATTTATTACACAAACTTTTAGTAGCAGAGTTAAAAGTAACATAATACCTATTTAACAATTTATTGCGGTAAAGTCACGTTCTTGGGAAAGTACAAAATTTAGTTCGGGCGCAAGTTGCTGATCTACATATATTAAACGAAGTTGTCTGTCTGTTTCTCTGCTTACTTCTCAACCACGCAATTGATTTTGAAACGATTATGGTATGGTATAGACGGGCTGGTTTCCGCAACTCGACGACTTTGCGCCTATTTTGCGTGGATTTTGATACAGTTGTCACTAATAGAAAGAACAATAAAGGTGGATGGTTTGTGTATATAATTTGTACATATTTTGTTCAAAATGGATGAGCCTGGACGGTGCTTTGTCAAAAAACCTACGATTATATGGCTAATGCAGGTTAACCTTTAGAGATACATCAAAAAAGTGTATTGGAAAACTAGGTCTTAAAAAGGCATACAGAAAAGTGTTCACAATAGCATACATATGTGTGTCTATCTCCTAAGTTACTCTCTACTCTACTCTCGGGTGCGTCTCTATGTACGTGTTATATAAATAAAAATAGTTATTGTTACTAATTTTATTTATATAACCAACTTACGGTTGCAAATTTTATATTTAGGTACTTTTAAGAATTTAGAGAAAATACATGTAAGTTAAGTAAATATTTGAATATTCATTTTTATTGAGCCTTATCTACAGGTACATATAATAAAATTGTAACTAAGTCGAATTTGTACATTAAATATTTTTTGAAAAATCTTATTGAAATAGACATTATTATCGATACAGAGGTCAAATCTATAGTTTTTTGAATTTTTGTCTGTCTGCCTGTCTGTTACCGCATCACAGAAAAAACCACTGGAGGGATTTTGGATGAAATTTGGTATACCTAATGATAGCTGGTTATCCGGGTCAACATGTAGGATACTTTTTACCGCGGGAAAATGTCTAATTTTTGAGAAAAAATACAAAAACTGCAATGTAAGAGTATCCTACCAATATGTTAAAACTAAGAATTTGGTTTTTGGTCATCTGAACGCGGGCG